ATGGAAACGTCTTCAAGACCCACCTCCTGGGCCGGCCAGTGGTGCGGGTAACAGGCGCTGAGAACATCCGCAAGATCCTGCTGGGTGAGCACACACTGGTCAGCACGCAGTGGCCCCAGAGCACCCAGATCATCCTGGGCTCCCACACCCTGCTCGGCTCCATCGGTGACCTGCACCGCCAGCGCCGCAAGGTGAGCCTCGCAGCCGCCCTGGTGGAACACACAGCCCAGGTGGCACCTCCTGCCCAGGCTTGGGCCTTGGTGGCACGTAAGACCCCCCACTTTAACCACCTGCTTCTGTTCCCCTCCTTCTCCTTCTAGATCCTGGCCAAAGTCTTCAGCCGCACCGCCCTGGAGAGCTACCTGCCTCGGATCCAGAAGGTTGTGAGCTGGGAGCTGCGGGGCTGGTGCATGGAGCCGGGCTCCATCGCAGTTTATTCCTCCGCTAAAACCTTAACTTTCCGCATTGCAGCTCGGATTCTGCTGGGGCTCCGCTTGGAGGAAAAGCAGTTCAAGGACCTGGCCAAAACTTTTGAACAGCTGGTGGAGAACCTCTTCTCCCTGCCCCTCAACATACCCTTCAGTGGGTTGCGCAAGGTACTGCCGCCTGCCCCTCTCCTTCTGCCTGAAGGCAGAGGCCCATGTCCTGGTGGCACAGACCCTCTGTCCTCAGGACCACCAAGGGGCACTTTTGATGGGCCAGGGTACCTCCTGCACCCTGTTCTGGGTCTAAGAGCCTGGTGTCTGCCCCATCCCAGCCGTCTCCCCTCACCTCTGCACTTCTCACCTGCTTCTCGTTGGCTTTCAGCACCTCCCTATGCTGGCTCCAGCTCGTTGTACAGGGCAGGGCTCCTCTCCTTCCTCATCCCATAAGTTGCCTCTGTTGGCTCTGGCTAGTCCACCATGTCTGGTCCTGTCCCATCTCATTGTGACTCACATCAGCCCACAGAGGAGGCATTTGTAGGCACGACAATGAATGCAGGTGAGCACAGTGCATCTCAGGTCAGCGCTCCCTGGGCACTTCAAGGCAGGCTGAGAACTTGAGACCTTCTTATGGTCCTTGGTCCCTTGTCTCTCAGCACCAGAGAGACAACGAGGGGTCCTGGAGAGGGACAAGGCAGATGGACAGTCTCCTCCACCTCTTTCAACCTGCAGTTTCTTTTCTGCTGTCCTGGCAGTCTTTGCCTGCCTTCCTACACTCTGGCTCTAGGTGTTGGTCCTGTGTCCCTCCACTCCCCCTCCTGTTTCAGGCTGCATTCTCTCCTCTGGCTTTGGGTTCTCCACCCTTCCCACAGCTCATGTCTTCGGCCCCTTTTAGCCAAGTCTTGCCCAATCTCTTATTTCCACCGTGACTTCTGCCCCACCTGATCACCTTACTCAGCCACTCCCAGTTCTCCCCTAGCCTCCCTGCTGCTCTTCTACACCAGGGCAAAGTTCTTGTTTTCCTTGCCCAGTTGCCCCTTGCAGATTGTCACCTGTGTGGGCTTTCACCTCCCGTCCTATCCCTCCTTACCTTCTCTCAGGTCAGCCACAGCCCAAACCAACCTCTTCAACTTGCATTTAGGTCCTTTTGTCTTTCTCTTTTCTCCCTGCCCTGTTTCCTTTGTCCAGACCTTCCCACCTCAAATCTCAGTCTTCGTATCTTCTTCCCAACATCCAGGCATGGCAATTTTTCATCCCGAATCTCTGGTCCTTCTGACTTTTGCAGGAGGCATCTTTCTACAGAGTCACACACTCAGTGACTCCATCCATCTCCCTTAGCAAAGAGATTGCTGATCACTTGATTTGCTGAAATCTTAACTGAATATTCTGCTGCACAGGAGTGCAACACAACTGGAAATAAGCTGGGTGTGATTAGAGTCTTTATCACGTATCCTGGCAAAGGCATTTGTTCCCATCTCAGATGTGCCTTGCTGCTTGGACTCAGCTTTATTAAGTTACCTCTTCTTGTCCCTTTGGACAAGTTTCTTTTGGACCTGATACAACTGGGAGTTTCTTCAGCGCAGATGCCTCTGGACCCAGCACTGTGGGTTTACTGCTGTCTTTTCCTCTCAGGACTCTTAGGACTTCTTGTTTTTGATTCACAACCGCAATGCAACAGAATTTGCAGCAGTTCCTCCCAAACTGCTGCCTCTTGCAAGGTGCTGGGGCTGGGCAGCAGCTTAAACAGTTCTTGCTGTTACAGATCCTGGGATTAAGGATTGCCGTACTTGGGGTCCCCTGGTCTCTCTGGAGAGGGGGGCAGTTCCTAAGGCTCTCCTGAACCGTTTCTGCCTCCCACAGGGAATCAAAGCACGGGACATGCTACATGAGTTTATGGAGAAGGCTATACAGGAAAAACTGCAGAGAAAGGACCCAGAAGGTCATAGTGATGCTCTGGATTTCATAATAAACAGTGCCAAGGAGCACGGCAAAGAATTCACCATGCAGGAGCTAAAGGTAAGGAGAACTCCCTTGCAGTGTCCCTTTCCAGCTTGGTGGCTGTTTGAGAGACCTGGGCTGTGTGGGGACGCACCACCAGCCGCTGGCTCCTGACCTCCTCTTGTCAACTCTGAGGACACCATCTCCAGTGCAAGTGAGAAATTCTGGACTTGGTGTGCTCATACACTCTAGTCGGATTGTGTCTCTTTGCATGAGAAGAGAGTGGGTATTTAAAACAGGAATAAATGCCTCTTCTACCTTTCCTCTATATGGCCACCAAGCTTCAGCCTGACTTATGGTGCTGCTAGAGTTACATGAAATTATGTAGAGTTATGTACAGAGCTAAGGCTCTGTACATGAGTGCACACTCGGCAACCTCCAGGGTACTCTCTTGGAAATATTTAGAGCTAGTTGTGTGTTTCTCAAAACTCCCCCAGCATCTAGCATGGTGCAGTGTGTAGATCATGTCCTCAGGGCTGCGAGCCCAGAAGTCTCTGAGACAATACATCAAAATGGGTCCAGGGATGGCATGATGGACTCCAGGTCATTCCCTACCACCTCGTCATTATTTAGATCATCTAGCTTGTGGATTGCTATGATGCAAGATGAAGCATTACTGTGACTAAGGGATGAACCCAGTAGTCCTTACTGAGCCAAAACTACCAACCGAATGCGAAGAGTATTTTGCCAAAGATCTTGGGAAAAAATTGTCATTAGTACCTCATCATTCATAGCTCCGAGTCACTTGGTGTCAGTGGATGACAGACGGCACTGCATTTATGCAACAAGTTTTGAAACAGTTCTACATGGGTACAGCAGCTGAATATACTTTGAAAATATTGACTATACATAGTTTTACTCTTTATTTAGGTATTTAAGGAAAAGTATCTGAAGATTAATGTTTTATAAATATTTTGTAAGAGTGTAATTTCTAAATCTAAAATATTTGAAAGACTTTACAGCGACTATTAGATAAAATTAGACCTAGCATATATTCTTAAAGTGATTTTATAGTCATTATTTTTTATTCTAATAGAATGTTTTTACTAACATTATTTTGAAAATCACTCCCAGAGGTTGCTGCAGGGAGCCATAAAGGCTGTTATTTCAAATGACAGAGCCTGCCCTAAATTTCTTGCATGTTACTGAAACGTCTTGGGATTTAACTGCAAATGGTGGAACTAAGATTTCTTTTCGTCTGGGTCTGCTACTCTGTGAATGTAAAAATTCCTGCTAACGCCTGCAGGAGGTGTGATAGGGGTCGCCAGGGATCTGTTATTTCAGAGATTTTATTTCAGCTGAAGGATGCCCTTGAGAGCTGCATTTTGGCAAAAGCCTCTAGTCCAGCCAATATATGATGCTGAGGATGATAACAAAGAGTAATCCTTGTTATGTTACCCTTGACCTTACCAGACTTTGCTCCAGGTACCTTCAGGCTTCAGGTGTCCTTCCCTGTGTTTTTGGCTTCACTTCTCCAGAAACCGGTTGTGTCAGAACAATTTAAAATCCAGACACATAGCTGTGGGAAAGGAAACTGCTCTGTTGCCCTGAGGCTTTTTGCTCTGCTTTGCCCCCGGGGTGGAGTGATTAGTGCTCAGGAGTGCCAGCCAGGTCTCAGCCCCTCCCAGGGTGGCAGCTCCCTGTGCTCCTCCTCCAGGCTTCACTTGTGGCTTTTGGGTTTGGCTTCTGGCCCCAGCGCTCCCAGCCCAGTGCTACAGAGTCACTGGCGCCTTCAGATAGTGCTGTAAGTTTGAGCACTGTGTTGCTGTCAGACTCGCCATGCCACAACACAGCTCTGGGTAATCCCTAACTTTCTGGAAAACAATTTCCAAAACTGATCAGAAGGTGCTGCTAACAGCCCACAGCAACCTGGCTTGTGCTGTGACACACAGGACCTGTGGACAGCCACCAAACTACTGGGAGGCTGCATGGGGATTCATGAGCCACAGCAAGGCACGGATTACGGATTTGGCTATGCTGTGATCTGTCTGGGCTGGTTAACCTCCTAACTTGTTGTGGACACCTCTGCTGTGGAGCTATCAGCAACGCTGCTGTGCTTCAGGCTGTGAAGCTTGAAAAGTGAAGAAGTTCCTTGCCTGGTGTGTGTATCCCTGCAGGAGAGCTCCCTGCAGGCTACATCTCTGGGGCTATTGCAGGGAGTTGCTATTGCAGGGAGGTCTTTCTGCTTCTGACTGTCAGTATGAGTCCCCTCCCAGACAAGTAAATGGTTGATTATAGTTGGAGATGGATCAAATGCAACTGATTTGAGCTGCCAGTGCATCTAGCATTTATGCATAAACATGCAACATTTTTAAGTCCTGGCTGGGCATAAGGGTAAAAGCTAGGCACAAAGAGGAACTGGCAGATGAAGGTAAAAAGCATAATGCTTGAAATGCACCTTGCTCAGTACGCTAAAACATATGTTAAAATGCTTCTTTAAAATTTGTAATCTTGTGTGAGGAAGCTCAGAGGAGCCGGACTGGAGGTGATGTGTGCTCATCTTGGTTGTGTTTCTGCGTCAATCACTTGGTGAGTGGATGGCCAGTTCTTACAGAAATGGAAGGACAAGGGTGTCTTATTTTGGT